CCGGCCTGGGAGCTCTGCGGAAGACGTGCGGCGGATCTCGCACTGGGATGTCTGGGGTGGTCCCACCCTGGGATGTCCTGAGGGTCTCTCCCTAGGATGTCGCTCCTCGGGATGCTCTCAGGAGCCACTCCTTGGGATGGCCGGGGGTGTCTGTCCCACCCGGTTGGGGGGTCCCGCCCGGGATGCTCGGCGGGTCTCTCGGGGCAGATGCTCACGAGGGTCACTCCTTGTGATGCCCGGGGGTCTCTGTCCCATTTGCCCGGGGGTCCCTCCTTCTCCAGGCCCTCCGCAGGCCCTTTCCCGCGGACCCCCCCGCCACGCCGCCCACCTACCCAGCTTCATGAGGCAGGCCAGGAGGATCCAGAGGGAGATCTCGAAGGGGATGCGGACGTGCGTGTAGTCGATGCCGATGACCGGGAAGGCTTTGCGGTGCTTGGCGTGCCCCTCGGCCGAGCCGTTGGCCGGCTGCTCCTTGAGCGGGTGGATCTCCTCGGGCGCGGCGGGCGGCGCGGCGGTGAAGCCGGGCACGGCGCCGCCGGGCAGCGGCGCGGGCTGGCCCTCGGAGGTGAGCATGGGGTTGGCCTGCAGGACCTGCCCGGGCAGCAGCGGCCCCAGCAGCAGCAGCGCCCAGGGCAGGGCGCGCAGGGCCGCGGCGCCCATGGCGGCGGCGAGGCCCGAGGGGCGCGGGGCGAGGGGCGGGGGGCGCGGGCGGGGGGCGGCGGGGCCGCCGCGGCGGCGAGCGCTGGAGCCGCCCCGCCACAGCCCGAGCGGAGCTGGGCCGGCCGCGGCGCCGGGCTCGGCCCACACGGCGGGCGGGACGGGCCCAGGGAGGCACCGGGGGCGGCGCCGGCGGCGGGAGGCGGGAGCGGGCGGGGAGCGGCGGGGAGGGAGGGAGGGGATGGGGTGGGATGGGGTGGGGGTGGGATGGGGTGGGGGTGGGGTGGGATGGGATGGGGATGGGGATGGGGATGGGGTGGGATGGGATGGGGATGGGGATGGGATGGGATGGGATGGGATGGGATGGGGATGGGGATGGGGATGGGGTGGGATGGGGATGGGGTGGGATGGGGTGGGGTGGGATGGGGATGGGGATGGGGATGGGGTGGGATGGGATGGGATGGGATGGGGATGGGGATGGGGATGGGGTGGGATGGGGATGGGGATGGGGATGGGGATGGGATGGGATGGGGATGGGGATGGGGATGGGATGGGATGGGGATGGGATGGGGATGGGGTGGGATGGGGTGGGGTGGGATTGGATGGGGTGGGATGGGGATGGGGATGGACTCGGGGCCGGGGCCGGGAGCGCAGGGGGGCTGTGCGAGGGGAACGGACAGGGGGAGAAGAGGGGAGAAAGGGAGCTGGGGATCCTGATGGGAGAGGGAAGGAAGGGAAGGGGAAAAGGAAAAGGAAAAGGAAAAGGAAAAGGAAAAGGGAGAGCGTGGGAGAGGCCGGAAGGTGGGTGCAGGGGCAGAGGAAGCAGGGCAAGGGGATGCAGGGGCAGAGGGCACCGGGGCAGAGGGTACCGGGGGCAGAGGGTGCTCTGCAGGGCTGGCTCGGGGGGAAGCGCAGCAGGGGCCGCGCAGGGAGCGGAGCTGTGCGGGAATCCAGGCCCCCAAAGCACGGTCCGGGTGCCGGAGCACAGCAGGACAGCGGGATGTGCGGGCAGGCGGCTGCCGCTGCCGGGGAGCACGGGGGGCTCTGCACCGGGCACCGGGGCTGGCACGGACAGGGGTGCCCAGGCACCCTGCGGGACCGGCCCGGGGCACGGGGCAGGGGCACAGCTCCCTGGCACAGCCGTGCCCGTGCCCTTCTCCCCGGTGACCGCTCGCTCTGAGTCACCAGGAAATCTGATAAGGCTCCGCTGAAACCTCTGGAGCAGCCTGGGGGGGCCGCTGGCACCGCGGCCGGCTCAGCCTCCCTGATTTCTTGGCTCTCCTCCACCATCCTGGCTGTCACACGTGTGTGACCAGAGCGACCCAAACCTGCTCTGCTGCCCAAACTTTGGGAGCCGAGGGGCCTTTTGGTAAAGATGCAGCCCTTAATTCTAGGGAGAAGTGCATGGGCCCTTGCCATGGCATGTGGCAGCCGAGCCTCGAGCTTTGGAGGCGACGTTTGCCGGTTTGCACCAGTTACACTCTCGATTTAAGCCTCCCAAAGCGCTGGTGGTCAGAGGCTGCAGGGAACAGGGAGGGCAGGAGGGGAGCAGCATGGAAAATCACCCCCAAACGTGACCCATCCATTAAAGCTCATCATCAGCCCCAGCAGGAACACGCTAGGTGCGTCAATTCCTCTTTTCCGTTTGGCCGTGTGCTGGGCAGCCAGATTCATCTGTTTTAGCAATCAGGCAAGAAACCCCGAGCGCTTCTCGTTCTGAAGGGCTCAGTCATATCTGGGTGAGAAGCCCGAGCTGGTGATGTGGGCAGAACCCCGGGGGCTGCTCGGCCTCCAGAGGCAGCTCCTGGGAGCAGAGCAGGTACAGAACAGCTGGAAATGCTCCTGTGCAATCCCTGGCTCGGGTTTTGCTCCCTCCTGGCACCAGGATCAGCCGGAGCTGGGGTGGGATGGGGATGCTGGGGGTTTGCAGGGGATGCAACACCCAGGGAAGGGCTCTGGCAGCAGGTTCCTGATGGACAAAGGGGTGTCAGCCCTGAAAAGGGTCTGGGTTGGTGCAGGTTCTTGGCCAAGAGGAAATTTCCTTGCTCTGGCCTGAGGGTTTTAACCTGCAGACAAATCCCAGTCCAGCTCCAGCTGTCTGCAGGACAAAGCACTTACAGGGTAAGGTCTGTGTCTGTGAAACTGCATCTGCACCCTGGGACGTCCTGACTGTGGCACAGGGTGTGAAATTGAACTTTATGTGCGTGTTGTGGGGGTTTTACACTGAGTTCCCTTTTTTCTTCTGTGTAGGTTGAGGATAGAAAAGGAGACAGGAAAGTCACCAGGAAACTGGTGACTTTTAAAATTATTGTTGAAATAATTTAAAATAATTTTAATTTATTATTAATTTTAAAATACATTATTTTAAATTATTATTAATTTTAAAATACATTATTGAAATGCCTTTTAAAATTAATAATAATAATTAAAAATACCTTTTGTATGACTTAAATTTGAACACTGTGAAAAGGGAAGGCTCTCGGGCAGGTTTATTCCTTGCTCCCTGCACCTTTCCTTGGGACAGCCGCAGCCCTGCTCCACGAGGATCCTCTCCAGGTGTGGCTCTCCTGCAGGAGCTGCGCTGCTGGGAGAACACCTTGTTTGCATTCCCCAGCTTTCACACCGCACCAGCAAACTCCAGGCCTGACAGTCAGAACCAGCAAGTCCTGCCTGGCCCCAGCCTGAGAGAAAATCCAGCTCCCCTGGCCCAGTTTCCTCTGCAGCAGCAAGGAAAATTTCCATGTCAAGGGCACCTGAATTTTCTGCGTGGAGCTTTGGGTCCCCATGGAGATGGCATCTGAGGAAAGAAGATAAAACCCTTTTGTGAGGACGGATCCCGGTCATTATTTGTTTAATTAGAGTCTGGACTGATGCAGAGGCAACAATTAACAATTACCTTCTGCGGAGGACTTTGACAGCCGCTGAATAGGTTAATGACTTGCAGGATGGAGAGAAATCATTGCAGCTGTCATTTATGAGGCTGGAGGTGCGAGGAGGAGTCCTCGGGCCCGATGTCTCTGATTTAAGGGGCTTTTCCTCCTTCTTTTAGAGTAACCAAGCAGGAATTTTCCTCTGCCGTGCAGCTGGGATTATCTGGGAGCCAGGGAATTAAGTTCCGAATGAAAATTTAAACTGTTCATTACGCTTTATTAGCAGGCTTCGGGAATGCTGAATTGTGGAAATAAATTACAGGGAGGTGAATGGGTAAGTTTTGCTTTCTTTCACGCACCTCCCCGTCTTGGGAGGGTTCATTAGGAGGATTGGGACCGGGCCGGCTTGTCCCCAGCGTCCCCAGGGCGGGTGGGGAGGATTTTGCAAACACTGCCACCCCCTGGCTCTTCGCGCTTTATTTTACACAGAGTTTTATTTTCCGAGCAGAGCCGGGCTCGGTGCTGCCGCAGGGAGGGGAGATCCCAAAGGGCCGGGGGGTTCAGCGCTGTCCAGCCCAGCTGTGCCGGGTCAGGGGCCACGGACGGTCCCGGGGTGTCCCTGCCGAATCGGGGGTTCGGCTCCTGTGCCCGGAGCTGCAGGACTGGGTGGGGACCAGAGGAGCCTCAGGGTGACCCAACTGCAGCTTCCCAGCACCTGAAGCAGCCAACAAGGGTTGGCTCAAGGAAAAGAGATTATTTAAAAGGGTCTGGAGAGACAGGACAAGGAGGAAAAGCCTTTAGCTAGTGGAGTGTAAGTTTAGATGGGATTTGGGGAAGGAAATGAGGGTGGGCAGGCACAGGGTGCCCAGAGCAGCTGTGGCTGCCCCTGGGTCCCAGGCTGGACAGGGCTAGGAGCAGCCTGGGACAGTGGGAGGTGTCCCTGCCATGGCAGGGGTGGGACAGGGACATTTCCAGGGACAGGAACAGGACCCTCAGCCCCCTCTTCTCCAGGCTGGACAAACTGAGTGACCTCAGCCCATGCCTTCCTGGCTTCCCCTGCAGGCCCTTCACCGTCCTGGCCGCTGTGGAGCGGTCCGAGCTCTGGTTTGGGGCTCTAATCCCCAGGTTTGGGGAAGGGGAGGCGGCGGCCATAACTCCTTCTTAACTACATCTCCCAGCAGCCCCTTCGCGCCGCCACGCTCCCGCCCCCTCGACGCCGTATGGCGGATCTCTCCTCGTCAGTTTCCTCCCTTTCCATTGGCTCCTCGAGCTGTCAGTCCTGGCTCGGCGGCGGGCAGGAAGGGGCGGCATTCACGAACGGGATTTACGCCATTTGCGCGGGGCGGGGCGCGGCGGCGCGCGGGGGGGGGCGGTTGCGCAGTTGGCGTGGCGCATGCGCAGCGCGCGGCGGCGGCGGGGGGCGCAGCGCAGCCCCGGACAGCTGGCGGGGGTACCGAGGGCCGGGGGCGGCGGGCACGGCCGGGGCCCCGCCGCGGCCCCTGCGCTGCGTCCCGCTCTGCCCCGCATGGATGGAGCCTCGCAGCCTCCGGTGCCCGCTGCGCTCGCGCCCGGCAGGCCTGACAGGTAACGGGCCCCCGCGGGCCGGACGGGCCCCGCCGCGCTGACAGAGCCCCCCAGCCCGGATCCCTTCCGTGCCCGCCGCCCCCCGGTGCCCCCTTCCCTTCCCTGGCAGCTGCGCCCCGTGCCCGCTTCGCTCGCAGCTACATCTGCCGGGCCCCTTGTCGATTCGCCGGCCCCGGTGCCCCCGTTCCTTGGCAGCTCTGCCCCCGGTGCCCCCGTTCCCTGGCAGCTCTGCCCCCCGGTGCCCCCGTTCCTCCCCAGTCAAGCACACCTCGTCCCCCTTCCCTGTCAGCCTGTGCCTTCCCTGTCAGCCGTGCCCCCGTACCCCCTTCCTTGGCAGCTGCCTGCCCTGCAGGCCTCAGCCCCTTCCCTGACAGCTGCCTGCCCACGAGCCCCCTTCCCTCTCCGCTGTCCCCCTTGCCTCCCTTTCCTGACATTTCCCCCACCCCTGTCTTTCCCATCAGTTCCCCCCAGCCCAGGCTCTGTCTGCTGTCCCCTTATTCCCCCGAGGTGTCACCCCCTTCCCCCCCAGGAGTCTGACTGCCTTTAGGGATCTCTCCCTTATCCATCCTCCCACCCCAGCCCCTCACCCTCATTTTGCCCAGGCCCTGTTCCCCCAGCCCTGCACCTGCTGGTGCCACCCGTGCCAGGTACAGCTCCTGCGTTCTGCCTTCCTTTCCAGCCCAGCACTGCCCTGTCCTCTCATTCCTCCCACTTTGCTGGGTGTGACCCTGCCCTGCTCCCTCCTCTGCTCCCTGTCCCTGTCCAGAGCTGTTCCCTGCCCTGCTGGGTGTGCTGCAGCCGCTTTCCTTGGACAGGAGGTCAGCCTCTCCTCCTGGAGCTGCTGGCCCGTGTGGATCTTGGCGCTGGGGGTTCTCTGTTCTGTTCCCTTTCCCCGGGGGTGTGTCAGCGTGGGGTCAGGGGAGGCAGGATTGCAGTGGGAGGGCTGAGCTGTGAGCTCTGTGTGCCCTGAGCGTGCCAGAGTTCCCCTGTGCTGCCCCTGCCCCTCTCACCCCTTCTCCTGCTCCCTGCTCCAGCCATCTGTCCTGGGGAGCTCCTGACAGCTCCTTCAGCTCAGAAAAACCTTCTTTTAACAAAGTGCTTGCTGCTAACCAGGGCATTCCCTCTTGGTTCTTCAGGTTTCCTTAAAACAAAAATTCCCAAAAATTTAATTTAGTCTGTGACCTCTTGGAAAGTCAAGGTAAAGAGGGCAGGGAAATAAGTTGTGAGGATAAAGAAGCCTCTCAGAGTGGGCTCTGGGTGGTGTTTGCAGGGGTGAAATAATTTACAGGTGCTGAAGGGAAGGGTCTATGGAGTCCTCCCTTGGGATGAGCTGTGGATCCAGAGGCTCGTGGTGTGCAGTGCTGCTTTTTTCCAGTGACCTTGAGTGTGGAGCTGAGACGCTTGGGCACACGCAGGCAGTCAGGAATGGGATTGCTTGTTGGAAAGTGCTGGTTTTGGGAGCCCTGCTGCTCTGGGGAGCTTTCCCCAAGGGTGCTGGTGCCAAGGCTGGGGCTCTGCCCCCCTGCGCAGAGCCCGTCGCTGTGTTGCTGTGGGTGGGAGGTGCTCAGAGAGGGAAATACAATCCAGCCAAGGAGCAACCCCCCAAATCCAGGCTGCGTTGGGAGCGTTTGGTGTTAAATTGATGGAATTATTTGTGTTATCAGCGCGGAGGCTTTGTTTCCAGGCTCGCGTGAGTGTTCCTGTCCGTGCCCTGGAGCACCCTTTGGAAGTGTACTTTCCCAGGAGCTTAAGGGGCTTTTCAGTGGCTGTCAGTGTCAGCAGAGCCTGCCCGGTTTGGAGCCCGTGGCAATGTGTGCCCTGTTAATTTTTGACTGTGGGTTCGGCCTTGCGCAAGCCCCGCTTGTGCCCTGCGGTGCTGTGGCCACAGAGGGCAGGGGACAGTGCAGAGCTGCAGGTGGGAGTCCTGCTCTCTCTGTGTGCTCAGGGAGCACAGGCTGGCACTGCAGCCCAGGTTTCTCCTCCTGTCCGGGCTGCTCCAGGTTGGAGCAGTGAGGGGCGAGGGGGAGCTGTCCCTGAAGGGTGGCAGAGAAACCCTGGTGCCATCCAAGGGGTAACCCCAGAGAGGCCACGGGCCATGGGAAGGGGTGGTGGGAAGGGACTCAGGGTGGTTTTGTGGCAGGGCAGCAGCTCCTCCACAGCCCAGCTTGTCCCAGGGCTGGCCTGGAGCACAGCGCCAGGGCTGGGGCTGTCTCTGCCTGGTGCAGCACTGCAGATCTGTCCTGAAGTGTCCCTCACTCTGGGACTCCATCCCTCATTCCACCAGGGGCTGCTTGTCCCGGGTTAGTTAGAAGCTGCAAGAATGGGTTAGAGCAGAATTTGCACGGTGGTTTTGCCTAAAGAGGAGCATTCTTCACCAATTTCCATGGTGGAAGTTTCCAAGGAGTTTCCAATTCCTTTAGTGGCGACAAAGACAGACTCTTTGGAGGGACTTCATGTTTGGAGGCCTTTGTGTCTAAGAAATTGGGAGGCACGGTTGATTTTTGTCTGATTTTTATTACATGTATTTTGCATGAGATCTAAAAGTCTTGGGAGATTTTGTTTTATTCCAGGGTCAGTTTGAAACTGGAGGCTGGATCTGCCTGTACAGTGGTGGGGCCAATAGTCTTTAGTGTTAAGAACACTTAATATTTGTTTTATTTGTTTATTATTTATGTATTTAATTTTTGGAGGAGGTCACTGTCATATCCATGGGGACTGGGAGTCGGAGGCTGTGATCAATTGTGGCTAATGCTCAGAATGTGATCTGGAATGAGAATTTGGGCTCCATACTCCTTTGTTTGTGATTCCATGGCAATTTAAAGGTTGCTAGAGCCTTTGTAGTTGGGGAATACCTGTTGAGCACCAAAAAATAGCAAAGGGAAAGGAGGAAAGGCTCTTGGAGCCTTCGTGGCCAAGCAAAGGCACAGAATCTGGGAGACCTTTGAGCCTTGTACAGCATCCGGTTGCCAAATGAAGCACTTTGCTGGAAAGAGAGACACCTGGGGCTCCTGCATTCCTGTTGGACTGGGTTTATCCAGGCCTGTTACCCAAGGTCTGATTTCTGGGGGGATTTTCCTCGCCTGTATTTTTCAAGAAGTAAAGTTAGGATGTCCCACAAGGTAGAAAATGCTGCACAGAGGAGTCTCTGTTGAAAAACAGAGTTTCTAACAGTCTGTTAAGGAGCCGTGGCTTTGGGGGGCTTGGCTGTTCCTTCTCTCTGTGTGTACAGAGGGGTTATGGGGTATTAATGGTTTTGCAGTGACTTATTTAGCTCCAGATTGGCCTCCTGGTGTGGGTTATTTATGGGAGATGTGGATCTTTCCGTGCTCGTGCATTTTCCCACGTGTGTGTGTCCTTGAGGTTGTTTGGTGCTGTTGGAAGAGAAAGGAGCTGATTAGAAATTAGCCATAACTAGAGGTGGGAAATGTGACAAAAACACTCCCAAAAGAGCAGTGGGGTGTTTGTTGTGGGGAGGTGACAGCCTGCCTGGCACTGGCATGGTGGGGCCCCAAGAGCCAAATCCAGCTGCTCTCAAAGAGGGGGACAAGAAATCCCACTGGGTGGGACAGGAGGGCCGCTGGGAGCCCTCCTGTGGCAGCAGGGAACCAGATGAGGGTTGCCAGGACTCCTGTTTGTTGCAGTGTTTCTGTGAAATGCTCTGGTTTCAATGAATCAGCATTTCCTCATTTAGAAGAGGAAAATTTTTGGCTTGTTCTGCTTGGAAATGTTTTTAAACTAGAAGGTTACATAGGACAAAATGGGTGTTTGGAATTTCATTTTTATTCTTTTTGTTGTTTTAAAGAGAACTGTAGAAATGTCTGAATGGGCCAGGCTGTGGGGTGGAAACTGGGGGAATTGCAGCATTTCTCAGGGGCTGACTGATCCTTAGCTAGGCAGCCTGTCCAGCTCAGGGTTGGGACCATCACTCTGCAATTTGAATATTTTTTTAGCAGAAGTAGCCAATTCCATGGGGCTTCAGTTATTTAGGTTAGTACATTAAACTCCATTAAGAGTGTGCAAAACTCTTAATTTCTCCTGGAAATTCAATTTTAACTGGTCACCTCTTTTCTCTTGCTGAGGTAATTAGGTGTTCAGTTGTGACCTCATGTTGTGATTTCCAAGGAATGTTTATGCCCTTTTGGATATTTTAGGGGGGTTCTGCTGATAATCCAATGTAGTAAATGAGAGAGAAGAATGCTGTGTTTATTCACAGTATAACCTTTGTAGAGTTTGGGAAACATGGCATTGGACATGAGTGGTCATGGAATGGTGGGAGGGAAGCCTGGGACAGGAGACTGCTCTGCTGGGACAGAGACATGGATTTTCCAGGCTGATACAGCCCTGGAATTCTGCTCATCCTGAATTTCTCCACAAACCGGGAACGGCCTTGAGTCAGACGTTTATTCTCCCATTGTTCTTCCCTGGGTTTCTCCAGGAGCCTTTATTCCCGGTTTCCCAGCCGTATCCCCACTTTCCCAGCCGTATCCCCACTTTCCCAGCCGCATTCCTGGTTTCCCAGCCGCATTCCTGGTTTCCCAGCCGCATCCCCACTTTCCCAGCCGTCAGCCCCCCGTGTTTCTGGAGCTGGGCAATGCCTAACGCGCGGTGTCCCCACCGTGTCCCCGCCGTGTCCCCGTGTCCTGCAGGTAACTGAGCACCCTCAGCGTGGATCCTGGCATGCTTGGATGCACAGCAGCTCTTGCCACTGCTTCTCTTGGTCTGCCCCACTGCAAGAAGATGGCAAAGGCCAACATCACCAGAGACATCATCCACAGGCAGATCAAGGTAGGTGTGAGCCTTGGGGGAAGCTCCTGGTGCTGCCTCTGCTCGGGCACCAGATCTCTGTTACTTACATATTGATAAGCCCTGTAAGGAGCTTAGGAGAACAAACACCCAGGACCTGTCGCTGTCCTTAATGGAGAGCTGGGATGAAGTCTGGCATGGCAGGAGCGCAGTTCCTCTCCCTGGGCTGGTTTGCCATCAGCAGCTCTGTTCCTTCTGAGTTGAAGAGAGAAATGGAGCTGCTTGTGTTTGGGCACCACAAAGGCCCTTAGCCAGCTTCCCTCTCTGCTTTCTGTGTTCTCCCCGTGTGATCTTGCCATCAGAGGTATTTCTGACTGTAGTAAAGCTAATGATCTCTGTCACAGCCTCTCTGTCTCCTTTTCTTTAGAGAGTGCTGTGTTGCTTCCTTTGTGTAGGGAAAAAAAAACTTGTGCAGTGGTGGGATCAGTCATCTGATGGCTGCTTTGGTGGAATATCAACGTGAAAGGACTGGCTGCAGCAGACACAATAGGCAATTATTGCTGGGACTCAGAGGCCTGAAATCATTTGCAGCTTTGCTGATAATCAGCATTCAGGAAAGGGATCAGTGAGTGGCCAGAATAAGGAACTGGGAGCTCGAGTGCTCACTTTGCAGTTTGGTACCAAACTCGGTTATAAGCTCGTAATTCAATCCATGTGCAGAGATTTGTTTTGCTGCCCTAACAAGGAAGGGCTGGTTCTGTGGTTTGAGCCCTAGCCTGGGACTGTCTCAGTCTGTCTGCTCTGTCAGACTTTGGGAAGATTGCTAAGTCAGGCAGTTCCTTGTAGGAAAAGCAGTATCCTACCCCAGAGCCCTCACAAAGCCACTGGGGCTGCAGCAGCACAGAATTACACCTGCAGCACCTTGCATGGGCCTTGCAGTGCTGCAGGAATGCTCTCCACAAAAGTACACCAAGGGGTTTGAAATCTGTCGTGGAAGCTCCTACAAAAAGCCTGGTTTGTTTTGCCTCCAATCCTTTTATGTCTGTCTCCATTCTGTCTTCAAATAGCTTTTGGTGTGTGGAGTTCATTACTGAACATTGGGCTGGGATGGGAATTCAGCGCTTCTGTGTGTGCTCTGGGACTGCTGATGGGCTCTGAGCACCACCAGGGTGGTGTTTTGGGCACCACCAGGGTGATTTTAACATTGGGGTTCCCATCTCTAAATGCTGGTGACAAAGGATTAAGTTGACAAGTGTGGCATGGAGTGAGACCACACTGGGTCAAGTCCTAGGGAAGAATCTCCATCTAGATGCTCCATCCAAAATCTGACTGGCATTCTCTCTCCTTCATTGCTGCCTCTGCAGTTGGCCTTCTTTCATCAGAGCCATCTGCTGATGCATCTGTGAGCCCTGTGAGATCACAGGGGAAACAACTGTCCTGCTTTCCTTCACCTTCATTTGTACTGACGCAGTTCTGTGGCAGCTGTTCCCATCCCTCTGGAACAGGCTGTGCACTGCAGCTCTGCTCCTGCCTGAGGAGCAGCCCATCCCTGAGGGCGGCTGGCCAGTTCCACTCCAGCTCTCGCCCCGTGCTGCTGCTGCTGCCTTGGGACAGCTCTGCAGTGGCACAGCTCTCCTGGGCAGCTCAGCAGGGAGGTCCTGCTGAAATCCTTGCCAGGGGACAGTAGCAGCCACTCCCAAGTTCTTCCCTATCTTCTGCTTCAGGCCCCAGGTAGGGTCAGCTCACTCTGCCTCAGTCCCAGAGCTGGTTCTGGCTCCTCAGCTGGAGCCTGGCACTGACTTACACAGCATTTTCAATCAGTTCGGGGGCAAGGATTAAGATTTGCCCACCTGGAGATGTTCAGAGGATGGGAAGGCTGGAGAGGGACTTGTCACACGGATGTGTAGTGGTGGGACCGGGGGGAATGGCCTTGAGCTGAAGGAGAACAGGGTTAGGTGGGATATTGGGAATGAATTCTTTCCTGTGAGGGTGGTGAGGCCCTGGCAAAGGTGCCCAGAGCAGCTGTGGCTGCCCCTGGATCCCTGGCAGTGCCCAGGGCCAGGCTGGACAGGGCTGGGAGCAGCCTGGGACGGTGGGAGGTGTCCCTGCCACGGCAGGGGTGGCACTGGAGGGGCTTTGAGCTCCCTTCCCACCCAAACCATTCTGGGATTCTGTGACTCCCTACCACAGTCCAGGACCTGTGGACCCCCCAGTACCTGGTGTGGTTTTTAAAGCTGAAGGATGTTCTCTGAAGGGGCAGGAGGAATGTTTGTGTGGCGTGCTCAGTGTGCTCATGCTCCCTTTCTGCCCCTGCAGGAGAGGGGAGCGCTGGGCTTCGAGCGCCACTACCACGTCACCGACCCCTTCATCCGCCGCCTGGGGCTGGAGGCTGAGCTGCAGGTGGGTGTGCAGGGGGAAACCAGCTCCTGGGGGGCACCTTGCTGCAGGAGGGCCTGAACTGCTCTGGTTTATCAGGTCCCTCAACCTGCATCAGAGCCAGGAGCTCAGTGAGAGCTTGCGCGAGCTTTCTGCACTGCCTGGTGCACGTGAGGAGGACCTTTAGCAGGGTGGGCACCGCCTCATCTCAGCACTGATGCCTGAAGAAGACAATTGTCAGCTGTTCAACGTGCTCGGCTCTAATGGGATCCCTAAGGAACAGGTTGTAGTGCACCCTGACATACCTTAGAAAAGATTTTAAGATTATACAGAATATTCTGAGTTGGAAGGGACCCACAGGGATCATTGAAGTCTTAAGTGAACAGCCCCATCTGGGGGTCAGACCCTCAACACCCTGCTCCACCCAACTGAGGCAACCTCTAACACATCAATTATCTTGGTTTGGGGGAGAAAAGGGTTATTTTGTCCCCCTTTTCAGTCATATCTCCCACATCAAATGGTGCTCAACACTCCCCCACTTCCTGGAGCAGTCGTTGGTTAATGTGGATGGAGATGGATGATGTAGTCACCCAGCAGCAAGGTGCTTCTAACAGAGCTATCAAAAGTGCATTTTCCCTGTGTTCCCAGAGTGCCTGTACATGTAATTTGTCAGCCTAGCCAAGGGCTCTGGAAGCAAAGTCACCTTTCCGTGTGTGCAGCAGGATTTCAGCTGTAGCCTCTGAGACTAAACTGCCATTTTATTCAACACTACCTTTTTCTATTTGTTTCATTTTGCCTTTTCTACCCCAACTGCTCTAGCATGTCTGTCTTTTCTGGAGGTGCCTATCTACCAAGTGTGTGGAGTTCTATGCAGGGCTGGAATAAAAAAATCCTGCTTTTATTGGAAGAAGTTATTTGTGAGGAGCTCAGTGTGTCCTTGTCTCAGGACAGCTCTGTTTGCTACATCTGAAGTTTGACTAATGCCATCTTCCCTTGCCTCCTTCCCTCAGGGTCACTCTGGGTGTGTCAACTGTCTGGAATGGAATGAAAAAGGAGAGTAAGTATGTGGCTTCATTTGGGGAATCAGCAAAGCCACAACCCCAGGTTTTTCCAAGAGTAGGATGTAGGTCATGTTATCATAAGCAGCTGCTTCCCATTTCTAGTAAAGTGGAGCTCAAGCTCAAATTCTGAGTTGTAGTAGAGCTCACGCTTCAAAAGAAGCTTTATTTTGTTAAATATATCTGGATATTATTAGAAATGCCCCTTTAGTGAGTTCAGAAGGGAAATGGTCAGACTAAGAAGTGGAGATTGAAGGCTGCTTCTCTTCTCTTAAGTGGTATTATGGATTATAATGGATCTTTAGGATTTGCCCAGCTGGTGGTGACATTTCCCCACCCCCTTCACCACGCTGTTCAAAGCTGCTGCTGGGGGACAGATATCCAAGGGAAGGAGGTGGAGAATCCACCCCTCTGCAATTTTAGAGGGGCACTAAAGAGCAACTTCCAGTAACCAAGTGGAATGAAGAGTTTCTGTGTGAGAAATGAGTGGATTGGAGGAAGAGTGGGTATTTCTGCACATGCCTCTTACAGTGTCCAAAGTCTGCCCTCTGATACTCTTCAGAATTATTTACCAGTGAAAACTTCATGTGCTTGAAAGAGAATGGCTGAGTTTAAAAGAGCTGAGAGTTGCAGATGTCAGATTCCTTTGGTCCAGGTGCAGATGGATGGACAAGGCCAAGAGCACCTTGCAATGCCTCTAAAAGCAGTTTGTGGTTCACAACTGAGCCCTGGGGCTGCCTGGGCACCTCTGGAGTCTGTGAATGGATGCCTTGGCTGGGCTTCAGAGATGGTGTGGAGCAGTTAACACAGCCAGGTAGTGGGGAGGTGGAGACCCTGCATTTTGCTGTTGACCAAACACTCCTGTTTTCCCATCACAGTGTGGGTGAGAGCCTTCAGTCAGCTGTGCTTTCTGTGGAATTGCTTTTTGTCTGCTTTAGCTCCTAGACCTGGCTGGAGGGATGGGTGCACGGTGAGCAGCAAGAGCAGAGAGCTGAGGGAAGAGAGGAAATGGGCTGGTTAGGGCTGAATTAACTCAATGGATGTCTGTGGTCAAACAGTTCCACAGACCTGGGCACGGTGTGGAGCAGAAGAATTCATGGTGCATATTTGTCTCCTGTTCCTTTCAGCTTGTTGGCCTCTGGCTCTGATGACCAGCATACCATTGTGTGGGATCCTCTGCACCACAAGAAACTCCTTTCTATGCACACAGGACACACTGCAAACATCTTTTCTGTCAAGGTATGTGTTCAGAAGGAATGAGCAGCTAACAGGAACAGCAACCTGAGCAGCAAAATAATAAATCCTTGCTAGGAAACATTTTTCTGCAAACAGTTTCTCCCCAAAAAGTTAAATATTTCTAATTATGGGGAAAAGGATTAAATCTAATGCTGAAATTAGTTTATGGAGATCCCAGGCTTATTCTCTCAGTGAATTGGAAGGAAATGGTTGTAGCAGACTGGGATGTGTGATGAAGCCACTCTCAGTGCTGCTGTAGCTGGTGACTCTTGAGTGTGCATGCTGACCTGTGTAATAGGGAATGCCATGGGTTAGCCCAGGTTCCTGGAGCAGAGTTCCTGCCCTGTGAGTGCCAGGGTGTCCCTGTGAGCAGCCCCAGTGCTGTCCAGGCTCAGTGTCCCATCCCTCTGCCGCAGTTCCTGCCGCACTCGGGGGATCGGATCCTCATCACGGGAGCTGCAGATTCCAAGGTGCACGTCCATGACCTGACTGTCAAGGAGACCGTGCACATGTTTGGAGACCACACCAACAGAGTGAAGCGCATTGCCACGGCGCCCATGTGGCCAAACACCTTCTGGAGTGCAGCAGAAGATGGCTTAATCAGGTACAGAATTCCAGTTGGTTTGGTGTTGGGAACCATCACAATGTGTGCTGTGCACAGACCTGAAGAGAGGCTGTCTCTGTACTGAACAGCTTAAGCTCATCTCTCCCTTTCCTAAAACCGGAAAGGTTTGTCTTGTAGAGTCATAAATACTCTCCTCAGCTCCTCCATTTTCCTCATTGCTGGAAAGGGAGGCCAGGAAAGGAACAGGTCATGACTTGGGAATTTAATTTGGAGCTAGAATAAATCTGTGCACATTGTAGATCTGCTTTTAATGATTATCCTGGTACCAAGGCCTAGTGAGTGCTGTCCCAGCTCAGGACATTGCACGAGTCTCTTCTGCTGCCTCTGTTACCCTGTGTGTGTCTGCCTCACTGCCACCCCTTTGCAGGCAGTACGACCTGCGGGAGAACAGCAAACGCTCCGAGGTCCTGATAGACCTGACTGAGTACTGTGGGCAGCTGGTGGAGGCCAAGTGCCTGACAGTGAACCCCCAGGACAACAACTACCTGGCCGTGGGGGCCAGCGGGCCCTTTGTGCGGCTCTACGACATCCGCATGATCCACAACCACAGGTAACAGCGCCTGGCCCCGGGGCAGCCTCCTGGGGCTGGCATCTGGTGGGAGGAGGGACCTGCAGGGATCCAGCACTCTCCTCTTTCTGGGAAGTTTCACTCAGTTTTTTCTGTCACCCAAAGCCTTTTGGCTGAGTGCACCGGGGTGGTGTGAGGCTGCTGACCCCGTGGCTGTGTGGGCAGCTGTGTCCTCGTGGGTGGGCAAGAAAAGCCAGTGCAGATGGGGCTTGCAGCAGCTGAGTGCTGTGGTTCCCATGAGGCTGTTGCTCTGTCTGCAGGAAAAGCATGAAGCAGAGCCCCTCGGCTGGCGTGCACACGTTCTGTGACCGGCAGAAGCCCCTCCCGGACGGGGCGGCTCAGTACTACGTGGCAGGTACGGGCCCTGCTCCAGGGCTCACCTGGGGGCTTCACTGGGCACACACAGAGTCACCCATCACACACAGACCCCTGCCAGGGCACCTCTTCCGTGGGATATCCCATGGAATTGCACGTTATTCCACTGGGGAGGTGGGCCAGCTTTGCTGCTTTTTGTCCAGCATAAAGGTGTTTTTGTCGCTCCTGCTGGAAAGTGAAGGATTGGGTATAACCTGGGCTCTATAGGCTTTCCTGGAACTGGTCCCAGTTCAAAATCTTTTTGGCACAGAAGTGACTTGTCCTCATCCTGCAGATAAAGAATCAGTGATGCAGTATCTGAGCAATCTAGATGACATTTTTCTCCAGTGCTCATAATTTACTACGTTTTACCCCAAAATATTTGGGTGGGTTTTTTTTTTACAATATCTCAGACCAGCATGTTCAGCAGACCAGTTCTGACAGTCCTGCTCCTGATGGTTCCCACTAGAGGATTCCTCAGGTCCCCTGAATTGGTCATGCAACACATCTGCTGTCTGAAGAACAGAACCTGTGTGTGAGCTGAATATTTAGGAGCTTTGGTTTCCTTGTGCTGAGGGCTTTATTAAGGAAACCTAATTAGGGGGTTGAGGATGGAGGCATTTGCAGATGGCCACAAATCACAAAAGCCAAATCCTAGAGAATCCCCAAAACTGAGATTTGCTGGGTTCTGGAGGCTCATTATTAGCAAGGCAGTTATGTGGGGTGGCCGTGCAAAATTGGAATGATGGAATCACAGAATGGTTTGGGTTGGAAGGGACCTTAAAACACGCCTTGTTCCACCCTGTACCATGGGCAGGGACACCTTCCACTAGACCAGGTTGCTCCAAGCCCCGTCCAGCCAGGCCCTGGACACTTGCAGAGATGGGGCATCAATACCCAGGTGAAAAGGCACCCGTGCGTGTTTTGGTTCCTCGTGGAAGGATCCCGTAAACAGCGGGAGATGGAAAATCTGTAGGTGCTTGTGCTCCATGGCTTTGCCCTTTGAAAGGGAGCAGCTGGGCTAGGACAGAGACAGCATTGAGAGTTAAGCCAATAACTCTGGACTTGTCCTCTCCCCAGGGCACCTCCCAGTGAAGCTCCCAGACTACAACAACAGGCTGAGGGTCCTGGTGGCCACGTACGTCACCTTCAGCCCCGATGGCACCGAGCTCCTGGTCAACATGGGGGGGGAGCAGGTAAGGAGGCAGAAAGGCTTCACCCTGGGTCACTGGGCATTGCTGTGTGCTGTTGGAAACAGGTACAGCAACTTCTCTGTGGGTGATGTGATGGATTTTAAACTGCTCTCTGATTAATTCAGACTAAATGCTTGGGATTAGGGATATATTTGTTACGCTGTCACTGATCAAAGTTAAACCACGTTCTGTTGTGGTTTTCCAATTCACATTTCACTCTCCGGAAGAGGGGAAAGAAAATAAACAAAACCAGTTGTGAAACTGACCTTTGTTGACCTAGAAAGGATTTCATAACTCATTCTTGAAACATCAAACTGCTTCTGTAATAGAATGTAGTGAATAAGAACTTGGAGAAGCAAAGGCCTTCACCTGGAATATTGATTGCTTTAATTTTAAGCTCTGGGTGTTATTCATGGATCTTTTGTAAAGCCTATCAATGGAATGAGAAAATCCTCCTGACAGCATTAATCAGCGTGGATTAAACAGGACCTTTGCTTGTGGGCAGGTTGCACTGTGCTTGTCCTCTCCAGCTCTTTCTCACACTCGCTCCCTTTAGGAGAGGGTGAGCTGTGGGTCTGGCCTGGGCTGTCCGTTCCTGTCCCGGTACAGCTGTAAATTGGGATTTCACAGAGCTGCCCTGGCAGTTTCTTGGGAAATACTGGTTCCATCTTAGAAAGACTTTTCCTCGGTGCCTCACCTCTTTTCTGTCGATAGGTGTTTGGTTTCTTCATTATCATGGTGTTAATTGAAATACCCTAGTTGCTTAATTGAAATATGAAGCTTTCTGAGCAGGTTGGTCAGTGGTCAGGTCATCTTTTAAAATCTGCAGGTGTGGAGTAAGATCAGGTTCCTGTTTCTCAGTGTTGTTCTCTCTGAACTGGGCTGGACTGGGACACACCCCAGTTACTGCTGCCATCCCTTGTGTGTCCCTCTATAAAAACGATTCCCAGTGAGAAATTGGAAATAGCAAACACAGACATGGAACTGTGTACCTACTGAGCCCTCTTTTATTTCTGACTTGAGCATCTCTGTTTTGCAGACTTGTCTCATGCTCTTTTTTCCTTTCCTCAGGTCTATTTGTTTGATCTGACATACAAACAGCGACCATACACTTTTCTCCTCCCAAAGAAGTGCCACACTTCAGGGGGTAAGTGTGATGCTGTCACAAAGGGAGCGAGCAGCACAGGGGAGTTCTGTAGTGCACAAATTCATTTTCAGGGCGCAGGAGGAGAATGAAGCAGGGTGTGGGTGTTGCTGTGCTGCTTCTGCAGTGCAGTGCATGCCCTGGTGGCAAAGTCCTTCTGCAGTGGGACAAAACATGAGGGCAGAAGCGACCTGTGGAGAGGGGGATGTGTGAGTTGGGAGTGCCTAAAGCTGTGCTCAAGGATTAAGCAGACTGTTGAGTGGTTGAGGTCCTGGTATCCTCCCAGACCATTCCAGGATTCCATGATACTCTAACCATGGCCTGAAATCAGTCTAAGGTATTTCCCTTAGCACTTAGTTCTCTGTGTGTGTCTGGTTTTCTGATCTAGAATTGTATTGCAAAGCACACTGCAGAGATTTGTAAATAAAGAGGACAAATGGAATCCAGGTGGCTGGAGCAGGTGGAATCATGGCAGTTTTGTTTCTGCTCTGAATGGGGCTGTCATGCTGGGTTGGTCCTGCTGTAAAATAAACCCTGAGTTTGTATAATCTACACTGATACTCAGCATGGTTGTATAATACTTTTTCTAACCCTCAGAAGTGCAGAATGGCAAAACCTCAACCAATGGAGTGTCCAATGGGATCCATCTCCACAGCAACGGCTTCCGCCTGGCCGAGGGCAGGGCACACGTCAGGTGAGGGCACACGTCAGGTGAGGGCACAGCTGCCCCTCCTGGCGGTTCCATGGCCTTGTCCTGTGCCCCTCACAGGGCGAGGGGCTGCCACAGAGGCGTGAACTGCACACCTGTTCCTGGATTGCCAGGTGGCCTCTGTCCTTGGGCTGCGTTGGCCTCTCGTGCCTGGGCTGTGAACAGGAGTCAGACCAGGCAAGAGCATCCTGGGAGGATTTTTCCTCTTGTGACGAATTAAGGTGCACAAAACTAAGAAATGATTTTCCAGGCCTGGAAGCACAGTGTCCTGAGTGGTGTTGCTTCCTGGCCTGCAGGATCTGTGTGTTGATAGTGGCAGAGGCTGGCAGGTGAAGGAACCTTGCTTCCCTCTGCCGTTTTTTGGGCACTTGCCTGCTGCAAACTGAACTGAGGCAGCCAGAATTGTTCTGTGGCAACAACACTGGAACACTACTGCCATTCCTAGCATGGGAGCCAGGACTGGATGGAGCCTCTTCTATTGCTCCTGCTGATTTCTTTCCTTAAAACAAAATGCATTTGGGGTGAAGGAGCAGCAGCACATCTTCGTGGCTGTTTTTCTTCCAGCTGATGAGACTTGGTTCAAAGTCAAGACACTTATTTAATACCATATATGGGTAGTCTGGGTTCCTCCAGAGTCACTTTGGGGACTGTTTCAGCTCCTCTCCTCTAGATGGCCCCTCCACCGCGGCAGCAGGAACAGGGCTGGAATTTTGGGTGGTGGAGCATGGGCCTGGTGAGCTCAGATGCTTCTGCATGTGCATTGTTGTGCATTGCTAAAAGAGCACTGGGAACGTTGTTTATGCAGTCAAAACAAAGACCTATTGCTGAAGTCTGATGCTTAAAATACCCACTGCTCAATTTGGAGTGTGTCTCTGTAGATGAAGAAAAATGGGAAACGGTCAAATGATGGTCACAGTGATGGAGTGAGACTGCCAGAGGGTGGGAGGGCTGGCACAGGGTGCCCAGAGAAGCTCTGGCTGCCCTGGCAGTGCCCAAGGCCAGGTTGGACAGGGCTTGGAGCACCCTGGGGTAGTGGAAGGTGTCCCTGCCCATGACAGGGAGTGGAACTGGATGGGCTTTAAATTCTCTTGCTACCCAGATTATTCTGGGATTCTGTGGTCAACACCAAACTTTCTTCTTAAACTCCAGTTCTTCAGGTCCAGAATCCCTTCTGCCTTTTCCTGAACCTTTTGTTAGGAAATTTAGCAAGCATTAGCTAAGCTGGAGCTAAGCACTGCAGACTGTGACCTGGCGTGAAGGATGTACAACTCACCTGTGCCGCTCCCTTGTTCCCTGCAGCCCCCAGGTGGAGTTGCCCCCGTACCTGGAGAGGATCAAGCAGCAAGCCAACGAGGCCTTTGCGTGCCAGCTGTGGACACAGGCCATCCAGCTGTACAGCAAGGCTGTGCAGAAGGCCCCCAACAACGCCATGCTCTACGGGAACAGAGCCGCTGCCTACATGAAGCGCAAGTGGTAAGGGGCAGTGCCACTGCAGGGGCCTGCAGGGACACCTGGTCAGGGGCCTGCTGTCCCTCTGGGGGTGGGGGTATCAGGCTGGAACACAGCTGGGCACCTCTGGCACAGAGGGGTGGCACAGCAGTCTGTGCTGGACAAATTCTGGGGAGGCACAGCTGGGAACCAGCCCATTTTGTCACCTACTGATGTGCTGGGTGAAACTCTGCTCCTTTCCTGTTGAAAAAGAGACCCAAAATCCACATCTGATGCACAGCGCTCTGGATGTCTCCGAGGGTGTCTGTGTTTCTTTGGGTGGTTCTGATTTGCATTAAAGAAGGGCTCTTAAATCTGCTGTCAACACATGACGTAATGGTGACTGTGCTTTGTAACATCCCATGACAGGAGGTTGTTTTAGGGCTGCTTTATCCAAGTGCCTCATGCTGCAGACACCCAGACCTGGTGGTTCCTGTGTTACCCCAGTTAACCCACACTCCTTGGACTGGAAGCAAACCCTTGGGAGGGCTCTGGGGAGGTGGCAGATCCTTGCAGTCTGCAGAGGATTCTGCCCTGCTGGTTGCAAAACACCCTGTCAGCCTCTGCAGTAGGTAATGTCTGCTCTGACCAGTGGCCAGGGCTGCATCTGCAAGATACAGCTGAGTTATTTTAGTGCCTGTCCCCTTGAGCAGAGTAAGACTGAGTACCATGACTTGCCATTAACATATTTAAAATAGCTGTGGTCCTTCATCTCCATTTGCTTTGTGAGGATATCCTTCTCCTCTCCCTGCTGAAATCCCCAGTATGAATTCTCCTCTCTCCTTGCCAAGATAAAGAGCAGCCAGCAGTTGTTGTGACTGTTGGTAACTGGCCTACTGGCTGTTTTGCAATAGCAGAGATTTGGGAGCTGCCTCAAAAAGACCTCAGTGTTCAGAAGGAGAAGAACAATAGGTTGGGATTAAGGGATGGAACACAGAAGCTGAGTGCTGATCTCATGAATGACATTTTTCTTATAGGAATCGTTTTTCCCGAAGGGTGTTGGCACATCTGAACCTTTCAGTGTGTCAGCTACTGCTCTGCCACAGTTTGGGGTAGCAGGAAGATGTGGAAAACACACACAGTGGGTTTCTGTGGCATGCAGGGGGTAGGATTTAAATAGCACTGAGGTGATACCTTCCAGGGGCAGAAAAGGGGCACTTTGCTGCTAGGAGCAGTTTGTGGAGCGTGGGGAAGGTGGCTGGGATGGCACTGAGCAGGGGCAGAGGCAGACAGTGACCCAGGCTGAACCACCACGTCTCTCTGAGGTGTTCTTGATGTCTGGAGCAGGAACAGGTTACAGGCCACCCTCAGAACCCTGCAGGTTCTGCTTTGGCCTCCCTCTCTGAATAACAGAGCAAGAGAAAAGGAAGGTCTGTAATTTCCTAACCTCCCCTTGTTCATCTCCCTTAAGATGCTGCTCATATTTTCCAGCACTTCTAAGGCTGTCCTTTGAAATTTTGCTCCTAAAAGCCAACTGCATCCCCCTCTGGATTGCTTTCAGCAGTCCACGTTGGCAGTTCTGAGCTGATTTCTGGTTTTGCACAAGCTGAGTCAATCCTGTAACAAAGGGAGAAGGCAGAGCCTGCTTTACATCCCACCAGGTCCATTCTCACACCAGTCTGTTGGGCTGCCAGCGCTGGTAGTTGAGCTTGAAGGATGTTTGAGGGTGGCAAAGCAGCTGAAAAGCCCAGTCAGGTGTACAAGTGTGTGACACCTGTCATCCTAACAGATAGCTTGCATTCCCTCTTTCTCTGAGTGAAAATGGCCCATTGCTGGGTGTCCTGAGTTAACCCTGGCAGCCCTGCAGAGCCCTGTGCCTGCTGCACATCTCATGGGCAGGGCTGGGCAGGAGGGAGCTGCAGGGTGCATGGTTTGCAGAACATTCTCCTGCAGGATTTGGAGCTGCCCTTCATAAGGCCAGACACTGAGACACCTCTTCCCTGTTCACCTGGGCATGAGGAGGAGATCCTTTCTGTGAGGGTGACAGAGCACTGGGACAGGCTGCCCACAGAGGGTGTGGAGTCTCCTTTACTGGAGATACTCAACAACTGTCCACAATCCTGAGGAATGTGCTGTAGGGAGCCCTGATTGTGCAGGGAAGGTGTCCTGCATGACCTCCAGTGGTCCTTTCCAGCCTGAGCCTTCCTGTGCTTCCCTGACAGAGCTTTCATGTGATCTCTAATTGTTGCTCTGTGAATCATCCTCTCCTTGGGACTGTTTTGGACCTTGGTAGGTGCAGTGCACAGAACCCTGGAATGGTTTGGGTTGGAAGGGGCCTTAAAGCCCATCTCATTCCATTCCCTGCCATGGGCAGGGACACCTTCCACTGTCCCAGGCTGCTCCAGGCACTGTCCAGCCTGGCCTTGGACACTTCCAGGGATGGGGCAGCCACAGTGGGGCATGTAGGTTACTATGGAACATTATCATTATTATTATTACTATTATTAGCCTTCAAATGGAGCCGTGGCACTCTGTTGAGGCAGCTTTGGGCAGGTGTGTGAGCAGTTGAGGTCAGTGCTGGCACGCCAGGTGTGTCTGCCCTGCCAGCCTGAGCTGCGCACCACGCAGGGCTCAGCCAGTCCCTGCTGCTGCAGAGACAGGCAGACAGCCCCATTGCCCCATTGCCAGCCCCATTGCCCCAGCCCCACTGCCCCAGCCCCAAGCTCGGGCTGTCAACAGGACACAAAAACCCACAACGGTCCATCTGCTCTAACAATCACTTCTGAAACGCCGCCGATTTTTCCTGTGAAGGCAGAAAGGCTCTGCTTGAGACGTCTGTCCCTTTGTGTGCGAGGTCCTGCCGGGGCCGGGCCGAGCTGTGCCGTGTGTCCACACAGGGGCACGATTGAGCTGTGACAGGGAGCCCGCCTGGCACGGGAGGGCTCTGCTGCCTGGCCAGAGGGCTGCTGCATCCTCCATCTTCAAAGGACTTCCCGAAATGTGCTGCAGCAGGGAGCTCTGCTCTGGCATTTAAAATGGCAGGTCAGGGCTGGCGGGGCGGCCTGGTGCGGTCACATCCCAGAGCTGCCTGTGGGCGTCTGCCGAGCCCTTGGGGAGGCTGGGCTGGGTCAGGTGGTGCCCCCGAGCCGCGGCGAATGCTGTTAGCGAGCTCCCGGGGTGTGGGATTGTGTGCAGAGCTGGAAACAACAAGCTGTGGAGGGAAACGAGGGCTGGGAAACGGCAGTGGAAAATGTTTGCTGTTGCTGCCTGGGCTGGCTAATGCAGCGCTCTGCTTTCCTCAGGGATGGGGACCATTACGATGCTCTGAGGGACTGCTTGAAGGCCATATCCCTAAATCCTTGCCACCTGAAGGCCCATTTCCGCCTGGCCCGCTGCCTCTTTGAGCTCAAGTACGTGGCAGAAGCGCTGGAGTGTCTGGATGACTTTAAAGGGAAGTTTCCAGAACAAGCACACAGCAGTGCCTGCGATGCACTAGACAGGGACATCAATGCTGCCCTCTTCTCCAAGAGTGATAACGGTGAGTGCTGCTGCTCCTGGGCTTCTCCAAGGTCACACTGCAATCTAATGAGCACACAAGGACCTTCCTCCTTAAACTGCCCCTCTGAAGTAAAGCTCCAACTTCTGAGAGAGAGAGATTGATTGTTGCTGTGCGCAAAAACTGGCCTGAGCCTGTTCTTTCCTTGTGCCTGGTCCTGGCTTGCTCTTGAGTGAGAGTGTGATAAAAGGAGTCTGATGTAGCCAGGAGATAATCTGGAAGGAAGGAAGCTCATGCTCTGAGCCCTGCTTCCTGCTGGATTCGTCCTTAACCCTTCTGTGAGGCTGCTGGGCTCTCCTGGGCTGTGTTTTGCTCACAAGTCCCGCAGTGGTGCTGAGGGAAACGTGTTGTCCTTGCAGCTGAGGACAAGAAGGGGGGAGGCCCCATCCGGCTGCGCGCCACGGGCCGCAAGGACTCCATCTCTGAGGACGAGATGGTGCTGAGGGAGCGCAGCTACGACTACAAATTCCGGTACTGCGGCCACTGCAACACCACCACGGACATCAAGGAGGCCAATTTCTTTGGCAGGTATGCAGGGGTGCAGGACAGGAGAGAGCAGCAGCAGGGCGATCTGTTCCGTGGAAGTAGCCCCATGTTACTGTTCATAAAATGACATGGACACAGGGTTGGGATGAGCTGACAGGAGCCCTCCTCCCACACTGCTGCATGAGGAGCTGATCCACAGAGTTCTGTTGGGCTAGCAATTCAGAAATCCATTTGGGATTGAAAACAGGGCTCCTGGGGCTGCAGGGAGCCAGCATGGGGAGCTTTATCTGGATGTGCAGCTGGGAGGGGTGTCAGCCTGCTGATGACAGAAGCTGTGTGGCATTGTCAGCCTGCTGGAGCCTGGCTCTGGAGGGTGACCCAGGCTCTGCTCCTCTGCCCTAGCAACGCCCAGTACATCGTCAGCGGCTCGGACGACGGCTCCTTCTTCATCTGGGAGAAGGAAACCACCAACCTGGTGCGTGTGCTGCAGGGGGACGAGTCCATTGTGAACTGCCTCCAGCCTCATCCCAGCTACTGCTTCCTGGCCACCAGCGGCATCGACCCGGTCGTGCGGCTCTGGAACCCCAGGCCGGAGGTGAGAGCTGCCCTCGTGGTTGGGTGTTCTTTCCTGCTGTGTTCCCCGCTGGGATCTCCTTGCAGCAGCCCCTCCGCGGTGCTGAGTGCTGTCCCCCGTGTCCTGCAGAGCGAGACCCTCAACGGGCGCGTGGTGGTGGACATGGAAGGCGCTTCCCAGGCCAACCAGCGGCGCATGAACGCGGACCCGCTGGAGGTGATGCTGCTCAACATGGGCTACAGGATCACGGGACTGACCAGCGCCGGGGCTGCGGGCTCAGACGACGAAGACAGCTCAGAGGGGCAGGTCCAGTGCCGGCCCAGCTAAAACAGAACTGCCTCTCCTTCCTCTAAATGTTTGGCTGAAAGGGAACCGAGTTTCCTTGGTCCTGAACTTTCTCTGGTGAATGACTGCGCTGTTTCGCACTATGCACAGGGTAGGACAAGCTGGCAGGGGCAGGAGCGGCCGTCTCTAAACCATCACCACCTCCTCCTCCTCCTCCTCTTCCATGGCAGTGCAGTCCGGGGTTTGCCTTTAGTGGAATTTAGTCCCAACAGGGGTCTTTGAGTTGTCTGTGAGCAGTGTAACTGGTGATTATTTTTCCAGAGCTGCTGTATGATCTGGTACAGGGGCTGTTGCCTGCATTGCAGGGGGGATGTTAAATTCCTGAATAAAATACAAACCTAGGGCAGGGGTTATGGAATGAATTTACTGCAGTGATTTTGAAAGCTTGACTGTGCTACCAGCCTGTCTAGAGGCCCCTGGTTTATGGCTGTTGGCCATGAAACACCTGTTTTGTCCCATAACATCTTTCTTCTGGCTTCCATCTCAGACACGTCAGCAGATGTAGCTGTGCTGTATTGAGGGCTGGAGGTTGCCTGGTTTGTGCCCCTGTCGTAGCTGAGGGATCAGTGAAGGCACTGGGTGTGTGCAGCTCCACGGGGCAGAACGGGCTTGCCCAGTTGTGATAATCCCTCCTGTGGTCCCCGAGCCCATGCAGGGAGGTGACAGCAACGGGCACAGGCTGCATCAGAGGCCCAGGACTTGTGTAGCTAAAGCTGCTGAGGAAAGGGCAGGTGACAGCACCTCTCCATTGCCCAGGGTGTGTAGCTGTGTTCACTTTCTCCTCTCCATGTCACCTGTGCAGGAGCTGAGGCTGTTGTCACCGTGTGAATGATACAGCTACAGCCTGGAGTTGTCAGAAGCAGCATTTCTGTGCAGCCAGCTGCTCTGTCTTGGCCAAGGTGGGCCTTCCTGCCTCTTTGTGCTGTAACATCAGACGGATTCGTGGTCCTCTCAGGAACCCTCCTTCCTGTCCCCGCTCCCCAGGCCCTGGTTGGCTGCACAGCCAGGAGCACACCTGGAAACACAGCACTGTACTTCCATTCCTCCCCCTCCGGTGACACACAGCCCCGATTTCCCCCCTTGCAGTTGCCAAACACTAAATACCCCACAGATCTTACACAGCTGTGCTGCAACCACCTCTGGAGGTTGTTTTTTTAGGACTATCAACTAAGACCAAAGAGCCCCTGGAGATCTGAACCGCTCTGCGCTGTCTCGCGTCTCTTCCTGCCCAAGGTCTGAACACGTTAGCCTGGGTCCCAGGGGTGTGAGGTGCGCGTCTGGGAGCGTGTGCGCGTGTGTGTGTGCCGTTCTTCCATGTGCTGCAATCCCTGGTCTTCCTGTTGCTGCCGTGGAAAGATGAGAGGCCTCCCCTTCCTGCCCTGCTGCCTCTGGCTGCCTCTGGCTGCCTCTGGCTGCCAGGCACCGCTGGGCGCAGCTGCGCGGGGCTGCCCGGGCCGGGCTCTGCCTTCCAGAACGGTCCTGGAGCTGAGGAGCCACGGAGGGAGCTGGCAGCGCCTTCCGAGGGCCCTGCTCCTGCAGGGAGGGCCGGGGGTGCCCTCGGACACTGCCCTGCTCCGGCCCGGGGTGAAGCCCCCGGTGCTGGGGAGCCCCGCAGGGGAGCAGCTCCTGCTCGGCCCGGCTCGGGGGCAGGACGAGCTGAGCTCACCTGGCCAGGTGTCCCTGAGCCCCTGGGGCGGATGGTGTCTCTTGGCCTTGGGGTAGATGGTGTCCCTGCACCCCAGGGCAGGTGTCCCTGAGCCCCGGGCAGGTTTGTTGGTTGGTTTTCACGCGGTACCTGTGACTGTTGCGTTCACCTGGCTGGGGCGTGGCCAGGTGCACCCCCGGCATTTGCTGCTCTTCCAAACCCAGAGGCAGCAGAAGATTCTCCTCACTTGGGTGGCTTTCTGACATGGTCTGCCCTTTCCTTTTTTTTTGCTTAAGGCTTCCTACTAGACGTATCCTCTTCTTTTTTTTTTTTTTTTCCTTTCCCTCTTCTCCTCCCACTCAAACTTTTTTTCAGCTTTCAGTAGACAACGTCTGTAGACTTTGATTTTTAAACTGAGAGACTGAGATGGAAAGCTCTGAAGAGAACAGACCTCTCCCTCCCCATTCACCTTTTGCTGTGGCAGCTATTTTTTGGTTTTTTTTACCCTTGTGAGACAGTGCAGCTCTTTTACCTGCCAGTTGCAGTGTGAAAGCAACCAGATTCCCTGCCTCTGCAGTGGGTTGCTGTTTTTAATGGCTGCTTTGGTTAAAAAAAAAGAAGATTAATAATAATAGGAGAGAAGGGGAGAGAAAAATCTCTCTGCCTCTAGCCCCTTTTCCCCTTGCTGTGGGCAGATTACCTGCTTGTTGCTTGTTAACAAGGAATTTGTATTTATTGGTGAAGGAAAAAAAAACATGCTGGGGAAGTCAGGAGAAGATGTTGCTTTATTGACCTCTGCTGTTTACTTCAACCCCCTCTTTGGGAAAGCTTCTTCCTGCTCTTTCTGGTTAACTCTTTCTAGCCTGGGATATGCAGGGATGCCTCCTTTATTTTTGTATTCTAGCAATGGGCTCTCTGTTGGGAGACTCTAGGATTCTCTTAGTGTTGCAGTGACCATTGCTTCTCGCTTTTTTGAGTACTAAAGACGATCATCTCGTAAACTTTGCCCCTGCAGTTGTAGAGGTAACACACGAGCCTTACTGCCCTCGTTAGAAGGAGCAGAAAACTTGTTTCTCTGGTCCCTGGAAGAGAAAGGGTTAAGCGATTAAACAATTCTTTGTTCTAGTTCTTTCTCGGTGTGGTTTTGTTCGGGGGATCCTTGTGGTTTTGTCGTACCTCTCTGCTCCGTGAGGGTGGCCTGGGTGGGCCAGGTGCCGTCAGTTCCTCAGAGCACAGAGGCTCCAAAATGTGGCCCATGATCTGTGCTGGCCACGGAGTCAGTGCTGAGTTAACTCGCCCAGGTTTGGGAGCTCAGGGCTGTCAGAGGAGCGAGGGTTTGGGGCTGCCAGCGCTGGGGTGGGGACGGGAGCAGCTGTCCCGAGGGGAGGGAGCTCATCCTGCAGAGCTGCTGCAGCAATCCCTGGGCCGAGGGGCCTCCCAGAGACAGCAGAGCTCCGAAATGCTGGGGAGGGCCCTGCTGGCCCCAGGAGCCCGAGGGGCTCAGAGCTGCACCCATGAGAGCCCAGCCTGCCCTGGGGCTGCTGCCTTGGGCTGGGCTGGGAGCGCTGGGGCTCGGGCACCCACCCAAATCGCCCTTCCCGAGGTGTTCTGTGTCAGCAGCAGCGCAGCCCCTGCCATTCCCTGCCTTGCATGGTGCATCCATCAGAGCCCACCCTGGGGCTCGGGCACAGCCTTCACCTGCCCAGGCCACCCTTCCCGAGGTGTTCTGTGTCAGCAGCAGCGCACTCCCTGCCTTGCATGGTGCATCCAGCAGAGCCTGCACTGGAGCTGCTCCCTTGGGCTGGGCTGGGAGCGCTGGGGCTCGGGCACAGCCTTTACCTGCCCAAATCGCCCTTCCCAAGGTGTTCTGTGTCAGCAGCAGCGCACTCCCTGCCTTGCGTGGTGCACCCATCGCCAGCCTTTGCACACAGAGATGTTCCTTTGCTAAAGCATTTCACAAACTCACTTCTTCCTCTGGGTTCCTGCTGCAAAGCCTCCCAAGCATTTCCTTGCTCTCCAATCTGCAGGCCTTAAGGGAGAGCTAGAAAACCAGGCTGTTATTCTCAGAATCCATTTGAACTCTTCTCTTAAAAATTCCTGTTGGACACCTTTCAGCTGAAGGTCTTTTGAGGCCTCTTCATTTCAAATCCTGTCTGATATAAATTATTGCTTCCAAAGGCAGCTCTGCTGTAACAAAGCAATGAGCATCCATAGCTGGAATTGGCAATCAGCTAATTGGGTCAGCTCTTGGAGTGAGTGGTTGGAAGCTCAGTGTTTGAATTGTGGGTGGAAATGGGTAGAAGGACCCAGAAAATTAGTTTTATTTGTCATTTGGATGAGAGGATTGGGTTGAGGAGGCAGAGGAGGGATATGCTCTGGGACGTGGGGGGAGGAACATATTTGCAGCCTGACAAATTCACTTTTCTCTGATGGAACCGTTGGCAGTGCCAGCGACAAAACTGCAGAGGGCTCAGGATGGGTCCTGTGTGTGAGCAGGGAGTGGGGATGTGCCTGCTGTGGGTGCTGGAGGAGCTCGGCCCTCCTGGCTGTCCAGCCTTGCCCTGCAGGACCGGAGCCTGATCTGATGGGGTTCAGGGCTGGCTGGAGGGGAGCTGGGTTTTGTCCTGGATTTCATGGCTGAGCAATCGCCATGACCAGCACTGGGCTCTGGGAGCGCTTCCAGTGTGCCATGGGAAAGTGGGGCTGTTCCCTGAGCCAGAGAAACTGCCCTGTGCATTGGGAAAGGTGGGAGGAAATGCAGCTTCCAGTGTGCCATGGGAAAGTGGGGCTGTTCCCTGAACCAGGGAGGAGGAAATGCAGTGACAGGAGAGAGAGAAAAGCCGCCAAGGCTGGAGATGAGGGCCGGGGTGGCTCAGGGACACTTTGGGGAGGGTGGCTGAGGCTGGGGTGTCCCCTGGGGCTGTGAGTGGCACCAGCAGAGCCCCGAGGGACCTTTGGGCTCACACTGAGCCAGGAGAGGCTCTGGGGCTGCACAGAGCAGAGCAGGGAATGGCACAACCAGAGCAGGAGAACAACAAAACCAGAGAAGGGAACAGCACAACCAGAGCAGGGAATGGCACAACCAGAGCAGGAGAACAACAAAACCAGAGAGGGGAACAGCACAACCAGAGCAGGGAATGGCACAACCAGAGCAGGAGAACAACAAAACCAGAGAGGGGAACAGCACAACCAGAGCAGGGAATGGCACAACCAGAGCCAGCCTGGAATGGGAGAGCCCCGGGTCCCAGCTGGGCTGGGCTCCAGGCTGGGTTGGGACAAACCCAGGGACAAACCCACAGTGCCCCGAGCCCCAGGCTGGGCTGGGACAAACCCACAGCTGGACTGGGCTGGGACAGCCCCACAGTTTGTCCATCTCCCCATGGCTCCCCTCAGGAAGGCTCTGGCCCCGCTGTCCTGAGGGTTTCTGGCTGCGGGCAGGCACAGGAACCATCCCCTGGCAAAGCCTTTTGTTCCTCCTCAAACGAGAGCTTGCACAAACAATGATGGCACCGTTCCTGCTCTGCACATCGATCCAGGGCTCTAGTCAGGCAGGAGAGCTGCAATAAAAGCCCGGCCTTTAATTTTATGCATGGAGAACTTCTTACCTGCCCTCCCCTCCTGCGCTCCCCCCCACAGCTCCTTTTCCAACTGCAGCTATTTTTCCCTGCTGACTTCAGGTGTTTTGTATTCTGCTTAGATCAATAGCAGCACAA